TTGTCATTATTATTATAAAAATTATTTATTATTATTTTAAAATCCACTTATATATATAATTTATATCTATATTTATAATATATAATTTATAATTATAATTTCTATACAAAGAGAATACTTCTTTCAGTAACTTTCTTTCAATTTTCATTTTTGATTAAACACTTTTACCTCTAATTCACATTTTATAATTTTGTTTTCATAAATTTTAAAATCACTTATCACTCTTCATATAAAAAATGACTACCTAATTCTACTAATTTATACATTATCCACTCTTCATATATGCAAAGTTTGAAAATTATTTAATTTTTATTTACATAAATTCAAATTAATGTATTTTCATTAAAAAAGTATTATATGTTAATTTAAATTTATATAACAAAATATCAAATAGTTATAAAATTTTACAAAAATTTGTAGACTTAATCTATTCAATTATAACTTTTAATTTAATAATTAGATTGTTGAAATTTAATATATACTATGAGTTATTAAGTAAAGTAAAATTTATAAAGAATTACTCTTGAAATAATTTGATTCACATACTTATAGAGTTACTCTACTTAACAACTCATAATTTATATTGAATTTTAAAAATTAAACTGTTAGATTAATAATTCTTAATAAATATATCAAGTTCATAAGTTTTTATAAAATTTAAAAATTATATAATACTTTATAGAGAAAAGATAAAAACTAGAAAGGGAATTAAATAATGTATATCAAAAACTTGCATTATTTTTCATAGTAAAGTAATAACTCTAGTCAAATGAAGTATGAAGAGTAGTCAGATGAAATACTGAGAATTTTTATATTGGTTCGTCTCAACCATCGAGACTATATCCAGTTCTCAATTCAACCAGATTAGGTTTCACTATCTTTAAACAAAGGTACAAGTATTCTTTCAACAAATCATGTTTGGCTCAACCCTAATTATTCTTTGATTTGTCTCTTTAAGTAAATGCTCAAGTATTATTTTATCAGCAAGTCTCTCCAAGCTTAACAATCAAGTATTCTTTTACAGTACAACCTCTCCAGGCTCAAGATAAATATTCTTTTCAAACAAACCTCTATAGGCTCAACCTTATAACAATGGTTATGAGGGTTACAAGTGTTGTATATTCGTCTCACTTAGACATTATACAACCAGTACAAAACAATGAGTGTTTACAAGAAAGAATAGATTTATAGATAATATGTTTCTATACAGAGCATATGTATCACTTAAAATTTGTGTCTCTTATGTAAAAAAAAATTCTCTGTCTTTTTTAAACTTTGAATCTTCTTATATAGTAACTTGGAAAAAATGATCGTTGCAATACTTTAAGTCAAGCTCACAAGTTTGTTTTGTCTATCTTCAATGTCTTTCCTTGTGATAGCAAATGGTTGTTTGACTCATTTAAAGCGAGCATTAATATTGTATTTCACCAAATGATACCTCTTATCTGATCAAGGAGATTTACTTATTATATTTTCATACCAAATGAAGCTTGAAGAGGTAATGTCAACACAGTAGCAGCAACAAAGACTTTATCTATTTTTCTATGTGATTTCAAGGATTTTTGTCATTGATCTTGACAAAAAATATGATCTTGTTCTTTTTTATAGATTTTTGAGTTTTGAGAATATCTCCTAGTTCAATCTATTAAAGAATGAAATATTAAAAATCTTTTGTTGTTAGTTTCAATAAATAATAAACATTATTCAATGTATGAGATAGATTATATGTTTCGTTTGATTTACAACGTCTCACAGACTATCTATATCTTATGTTTCATCTGATAAATTTTTTAAGGATATTTTTTTAAGACATTTTTACAGACATTTCTTCTTTATAAAAATGTTTTGTTTATTAGCATTAAAACTTAGAGTTTAAAAAATTTAAATTATCTTTTGACTTAACATATTTTATTATATTGATCCAAATTAATGTATATTTATAAATAACGTGTTTTAAGAAAATACTAGAAAAAAAAATAATATACATGATACGGTGAACAAATTTTAATTATAAAATTAAGAATTACCTTCAACTGAAAAGAGGGAAAAAAAATAGTTGTTTAGTTTGTGGTGAGATTGTTGGATCTTAAAATCCCGAAAAGGTGATAGTATTGGTTTAGAGGTGTGATTGTTTGACAAGGCAAAGATGGGTTATTAACCAATTAATGCATGGTATGCATTGCATAGGGTTTGTGAATTGAATTGTCCCTAGAATATGTGACGTGGGACATTGAAGAGCAAGGACAGACAGGTTCAACCTTAATATAAGTGTTTTGTTGAGTCCTAAGCCATAAGCACACGTGGGAGTGGGACCAAACCAACCATATGAGGATTAATCGATTAATAGATCGAGGAAGAACTGAATACCACCATTATAAATTTGACTCTTTCGCATTCACGTGCACCTTCCCACCTATGTCGCCGTTTTCATGGCCGGCCATTTCCCCCTTTTTAATGCCCTTAACAGATTATTAATACTACTACATACCTTTAATTTATCTAAAATTCCATGTACTACTACTAATTATTGTTCTCACAATATAGTTTTTCAAAACTATGATAGGGTACATTGATAAACCGCATTAGTACGTAAACTAAGTTTATAAGAAAGTTCTTGTTAAAGATACTTGAAGATATCATATGATTCATATCGATCTTAATTGTTTGTGTTGATAAAAAAACTGTGTTCACGCAATTATTTCTCTAGCTAGCTCTATTTTCTTCTTTCAAACCCGCAAACTCAAAATTGAGGTTGTTTCTTAAAAATGATACTATGAAATGAATGAATAGGCTTCTAGGAATGAAAGATAAATAGAGATCAAGTAATTTTATTTTATTTTTCGGTTTTTCATGTTGAAGCACGATGATGTGGTTTGAGGGGTGCTCTCTACTCAAAGGAGAAAAAAATTAAAAAAGAAGTAGCACACGTGACAAGAAAAAAGTATGGATAAAGTTAGGTATACATTATAAGTACAAGTCAAATGGTCAAAAGGGTAGGGATAGAAGTTTGTGTTATGGGGCATGGCAATGGCAATTCACAAATTGCAAAGGCAAAAGAAAACACGTTCCGAGGAGATGAATTCCTTTTGTATTCAGTTTCAAGGCCTAGTTATTGGACTTTATTTACTTTGCATGGGGATGGGGAAGCATCTTACTCCTTCATTATTATTTCTCATTTCCCTCGTCAAAATAACAAGACTACTATGTTTTTCTGTTCTTTTCTTTACATGTTTTCTCTTTTTCATACATCGCATGGGTAGGTTGGCTTTGCTAGGAACTAATCCATGTTGTTTCAACTGTGTTTCAAGTTTCAGATTTGAATATGCAATTGTATTGAGTATAAAGTGAGAGAATTTTGTCATTCGTAATAATTTTATCCAATTCAAATAAAATTATCTTTAGTGAAGGATGCATGTGATCTATTAAAAAGAAATAAATTATATTAATTGGATTTGCTAGACATATTGATCAATTTTTTT